AAGCAATCTGGTTGCAAGCTCCAAAAGGCTTGGTGATTCCACCCCATGGCACTTCCAGGGATTTCAGCTCCTGCAGCTTTTCTCTTAAATCTTCTCTGCTCGCTTTTTGTGGCTTCCCTTGGATCATCCACATTCCTGGCTTCTCTAAACTTCTGGGGTCTCCACTGCACCTTTGGCTTCACCTTTACATCTTCACAAATTGCTCTTTCAGGGACACACTGCTTGGCCAGCCAGGCCCTTTGCAATCGAGGTGGAAGCCGTCTTTCCCTCAGAATTTCCTTGCACCTAAAATCAGCACCTTGTGGATGCTGCCAAGGTCTGCTGCCAGCTGAAGCAGTAGCCAAGCTTTTCTCTCTCTTGGCTGTAGGGGTCAGTTCCTGGATCGCAGGGCTCTGTTCACCTGATTGTGAGGAAAAGCTTCTCTACGTTGCCACCATTCTGGAACCTCATGTGCCCTCTGTTGCCATTCTGGAACCTCATGTGGCCTCTGTCTCTGGAACATGGCACTCTGCAGCTTTTCCCTCTGAGCAAATTTTCCCCATCCTTTGCAGTGAGGCTGCACAAGGTGGGGACTCAATTCATGGGATGCTCTGGGGCCATCTTTCTTATCTCTCTGTTTCTCCTCAGGAATCAAAATCTCAACTCTGTCTTTACAATTCACAGTCTTCCTGGCATTTTTCTTCTGGTCAAACTCACAGCATTGTAAATTATCCTGCCGGGCTCTTTGCTCTTGATTTGAAACATAAAGCTGGCTGAAAGCCCCCAACAATAGTCATGCCACAGCCTCAATGTTCGATTGCTTTTTAATTTCTTTTTCAAGATTAATCAGTCCATTGCCCTTTGTCTCAGTCTCAGGCAAAGTCTCTGGGCAGGAGCAAAATGCCAACAAACTTTCTGCCAAGCCATAACACATATCATGTGGAGTTCAACAACCAGTGCAGTCCTTTTTCCCAGGAGAAGCCTTCCAAGCCTGGTCTTTACCATGAGGCTATCAGCCTTCTGGTCTCTGGAGCTCTGACCAGAATCTCCTCTACAGAACAGCCTAAGCTGCTCCAGCTCTATGCATCCAGGAGACATGTCCGAACCTTTCCAAACTCTGCCCACAAGCCATTTTCAAAGCCTCTTGAAAAACACGGCCAGATATAGTCACAGCAAACGACCCCACTCCCCGGTACCAAATTCTGTCTTAGTTACTTGGGTTGAGACAAAATACCTGAAGCCCAAAGTTGGGAAAGGAAAGGTTTATTTCTTACAGTTTTTGGAGGTTTCAGTCCACACTTGGTTGGCTCCAATACAGGCGGGCATGGCTGGGCCGCAGTTCATGGCGGCTGCCAACAGCAAGGGGGAACCAGCAAAAAGCAAGACACACCTTCTTCCTGTCATTACATCACATCCTGGCTCCACCCCTGTGTGGGTGGAGCACTGACACCATCAATCCAAGCACTAGACAATGAAGCATCACAAATGCACAATGAAAACTTATGAGGCCTGGGGGACACAGACATAAACCCGTGACAGTTATGATGGTGAGGATTTCAGGATAGAATTTAGTTAAAGCACTGGTGCCATGCATATAGGACAGGAATCCTTGGACAACGTTGAGGAAGTAACCAGGAAGCTTTCCTGGTTGTTCTGTCATATGTCCCCTAACGATCTTCAATCTTCCCATAATGACAGCGGAAACTGTTAACAGGAGCATAATACAAAAGGCTCAAGCTGTTCCAGTTCCAGGAGGTCATAGGTGTCAGAAGTAAAAAAAGCAAAGAGAGAAAGAAAGCATGAGTGTTTGCATGATTTTACATTTTGCTGATGTGTAGCATTACTTGTAGTAATATTCTTGTTGGTGTACAGAGCAAATTCACCTTCAGTGCTCCAAATGAGAAAGAGAAACCAGAGTTAAAAGACATCTCTGGCAATCTTAGATATATGAGTGGAAAGGAGGAAGGTGGAAAGGGAGAAGGGTGACCAGGTTGTGTCTATGGAGCTAAACCGGCTGTGACCTCTTTCTGCGACTCTCAGCCTGTGCAGAGTGTTGAAACCATAAGATTCACCATCAAAAGGCTGAGGAAAAAGTACAATGACTTCTTTCTTTTTTTTTGGTCTTTTTCGTTTTTATTGGTACCAGGGATCAAACTCACGACTGCCTGCTTGCAAGGCAGGCGCTTATGCCGCTGAGCTAAATCCCCAGCCCCAGTGACTTCTTTCTTTCTTTCCTATGAGACAAGGTCTCACTACGTAGTTCAGGCTGGTCTTGAATCCACTATGTAGGCCAAACTGGCCTCGAACTTGCAGTGATCTTTCTGCCTCAGCCTCCCAAATGCTGGCATTACAGGCATGTAACATCATGCTTGGCAAAACAAACAAACCAAAACAGTTTTTTTACATAACATCACTAGCCAGCTGGAGTAGGTCATGTGAAAACACTGACAATAACAACACCTTCAAAAATCACCCAACCTAGACTTCATCAGACTCATAACCAAATTCATTTTGTTCTGACTTTTCCAGGCTCACAGACTGCACTGCTGTGGGGGATGAACACTCACTGTGAACATGGTATCCTCTCCTGGGCAGCTCTTGCTGATGGAAAATGGCCACCTTCTCTCCCTCTTGCACACACCCAGTCCTCTGCGTCAAAGCCAGCCCGCCTGGGTGGAAGAAAGTTTCTGCAGCCGTCCAGTGAGTGAAGACTGTACTTCTGGTCTCACCTTGAGTGTGTGGGCTCAGTGCCAGTGTTTGTGTGCCTGGGAGGGCAGAGGACTCCTTTGCTAGGCTGCAGAGGGAAGAGGGCTCCCCAAGGAGCCCCTGGGACATGTGAAGAAGGGTAGGGGAAGAAGATGGGGGACTTAGGAGACAGCAAGGTCAGGAAAGAAGAGGCATTCAGGGGCCTCTCCTCGACACCTCAGTGCAGTGGAATGAATGAATTTACACCACCTGGCCTTCTGCTTGGCCTCGTCCTAGACTCTTGTGACGCATACCTTCCTCTTCTTCCTGTCTCCATTTCCTTTCATGAACTGACTGTCCTGCTCTCTACCTGAAAGCTGAGCTGTACAGCGACCTCAAAAGTCTCCCTCATCCCCCCTGGGTTTCCCATTGGGTTCCCAATGGGGCTGCAGGAGGGCCAGGGAGGGAGGAACAGGCTTCTCCAGGGAGAGCTGTGTGCGCGTCTCCTTGGGCTCCAGAAACTCCCAGCTTGACTGTGATAGCCCATTGTTCCTTGTAGGCTCCCTATACCTGCCCACCTGTGCAGACAGTCTTTTATGAATCCTTCCTTGAGTTGATTAGAATTAGTGTGGGTCATCTATTTTCCTTCAGGAACCCTGACCAACAGAAATGCTCCCCTGACTCTTCAGTAAGGGGACTGCGGGGGTCTGCAGCAGACTCACGGAGCCAGTTCTGGGAAGACAGGGGTGGTGGCCTCAGGATAAGGGGTGAACATCACCTGACTACCTGCTGGGCCCTGCCTGAGGGGGGCTTCTAGGAACTCTTAAGGCAGCAAAGGACCCACAGTAAGTGACATCCCAAATGCAAAGCTAGGCGGTGAGGTAACCCCTGGCACAGTGGAGAAGGAGGACCCTGTCCCAGTTACACTCGAGACACATGTAGGGACAGATGCTGTTTGTTTGATAGAGCTGAAAGAAGAAGGTGTGAGGCTTTTTCCTTTGTTTCTCAGTGCATCTGGGGGGGGTGTATATAATTTTTATAGAAAACCAGCACAACAGCCTTCATGTTGGACAACTGGAAGGGTGGGTGAGCTGGGGCAGGCTGTTAACCTGTCCCCTCGCCTGATCAGCATAGCTCCCAGGCACAGATCCAGAAGTGACTCAGACTTGAAGTTGACATTTGCTGTCTGTGTACATCAAGCACTGTGTAAACCGGAAAGTTTGCTGGCCAGCTGTGCCTGTTACTTTGACAGCGCCTGTCTCCTTGGGCCTGTCTGCTGAGATTCGCCCCGGTCAGTGTGGCTTCAGTGACCCTGTCTCACTGTGCCCTGCCAGGTACTCACCATGGCGGCACTCTCCTTTGTGACAGACTCCCTCCTGAGAAGCCTCCCTGTGCCGGGGAAAGCCCAGAGCTGCTGAGGCCTTGCCCTGACTCAGGGTGTGACTCTCCACACACAGTGGAGTCCCTCCTCCAGCCCCAAAATGCTGGATTGGGAAAGGAATTCCCCAGAAACAAGACCTCTGTCTTCCCTTCCCCTCAGCTGGCAAAGCTCCTAACTCAGGCTTCGTGCAGCCAGCATGAAGGGAAGGAGAGGAGGGAAGCGACTAGGAGCAGCGTCTCCTGTCCCCTTGAAAAACAGCACCCTTGTGGGATGTTTGGGTTTCATTCCCCTTAGCCCAGTGCTGGAGGAGAAGCATTAAGTCAAACAAAGGGTTCTGTGGGTTTTGAGTCCTGGAGGGTTAACTACCCCTCGGTGGAGCTGACACCTAGAGCTCACTTCTGCCTTCTCAGTAGAGCTCAGGAGGTGAGGGAGGAAGCTCTCCCCAATGGCAGCCCCAGGGGTGAGGCCCAACTCATAGGCTCCTGTGCACACCAGGGCCATCCAGCTGCTCCGTGTGGCTGGAACAGCAAGGCCAGAGGCTGTGGCCGTTCCTCTAGCCCAGCATCTAAGTTCAGCACATCCAGTGACTGGTACCCTCTGCTCACAACTCACTGGCTGGGTTATTCAACAGCAGTAATCAAGACTTCAATGTAGGAATTCGGGGTGGACACAGACACCCTCACCAGAGCAGAGCTGTAGCTGTGTCTGCAGAAAGCCAGCACAATCCTCCCCACGTTGTCTGCTCCTCATTAGCAGGAGTGATTAACTCCTGTTGTTGTCATTTTCCCTCTGGGTGTAAGAATTATTATAAACCAGGTGGCGGTGCACACCTGGATCCCAGCATTCAGGAGGCTAAGGCCGGAGGATCACACACTCTTGCTCCCCCAGCCTGTGTTAACAACACTCCATGACTTCAGAGGTTTATCAGAAAGCAAAGGACACAGCTCAAACCAAGGATGATCAACTGTTTCATTTTAAACGTTCACATTGCTTGGAAATACACTTGACCATACACAAATTATATCTATTAAAATAGGAAAGCTTTCTAGTATATTGCATTGAAGACATTTATACAGAAATAAGTAATTGCAACAGACAAGCTACATCAGAAATACTAAAATACTCTGAAAGCTTTAAGTGCCCACTTTTCAAAACATTTTGGTATAAAAGCATATCCCTATATATTTTAGAGGGTACATGTAATACTGAAAAAATACTTCATGTAAAAACTAAGTTTAGGTGCATACAAACAAAAAGAATCACACTGAATAGCTTATTCCAAACTGTAAAACACATTCAAAGTATCCAACTTCTTAGACAACATGCAAACCTTTTAATACTCAGCTTGATATTTTTAAATATATAAACCGTAATTCTTTATACTTCTATATCAAAATAGAAAGACAGAACATTTATCTACATTGTGCACATCACAAAAAGCAAATGTGTCTTCATAAACGGAAAGTACTGAGTTAACACATGATTGTCACTTTACAAATATGGCTGTTCACCTTCTTCATAATAAAATAGAAAAATCATGTATTATTTACATGAACTACTAATTATTTAACTTTTTGGCTATTATATAAAGTAGCAGCAATTGGTTTAAATATTGATGTTTAAAAACTCTAATTTATCTCCATGAATACCAAAGAATATATATCTGGTTTTAATATAAAACTGCATGATGTAAAATGCTTTCCCTTCCACAGAAAACATAGGCACAGACCAGTGACCGCTGAGACTGTCACTTGCAACGTCACACAGCGTCAGCTTATTCTTGCTTAGCACAGTCGAGGGGTCCAAAGTTAAGTTTCTGTAAATTAGCTTAAGTCGGCCTGATGATTTACGTGGCAATTTCAGAGAAGCTTTATTTTTACTTCACACTATCTAACCGTAGTGGCTGTTCTCCAGACCTCTGTCTCTATACACAGAAGGCAACTGTATACAAAAATAGACGTAAGGGCAAATTTAATATTTAAGGGAGCTGGGTGTGGTAGTGTATGCCTGTAATCCCAGCACTTGGGAGGCTGAGGCAGGAGGATCACTGTCATTAGTTGGGATATTAAGTTTCTTTTAGAGTGGGGACCTATCCACTGGGTAAAATGTAAATCATGAGGCAGTGATCACCACACTTGAGAAACACTGACATCTGTAAAAATGAGACAAAAACCTCACTACCAATATTGGCAATTTAAAAAATACTGTGTGGTGGAAGAGGCAACAGGTGCTTTTTCCTGACCAGGAGTCGACTGCCGAGCAGGAGTCCTGAGCGTCATCACGAGGCAGAAGAGCCGGGCCGAGGAACACTGTGCACTCCGTGCGGGCACAGGGTCACACCCAGAGCAAGTGTAAGGTGAGGCCCAGGCTGAGGAAGAGGAGCAGCGCGCAACATTGAGGCCTGAGCCTGCCGCCCGAGGAAGGCAGGCTGCTGGAGACCTGCACCTGGGAGATGACCAGGGCAGAGAGCGGGACGTGGGCCGCCAGTGTGGGGCTGTCTGAGTTGATAAGGGATTCGATCTTCTCTGCCTCCTTATTGCAGGCCTCAACCTGGGAGGAAGAAATAAGAGCCTTCAACACAGAGCCTAAACCTATGAACAAGTCAGGTCCGACAAATTCTCCCAACATCCACAAGCAATGTAGCCCCAGAGAAGCTTGCTTTCTCTTTTTCTTATGCAGAGTAACATTTTACTATGGCCTTAATTTACTGCATGCATATAACAGCACTAACGAAAATCAAGTCAGAAAGAAATGACTCACAATGCCACCACCACTGTCGGTCAACCGATTTCATTTTCCTACAGCACATCCAGCCTGGAGGCCAAACCCAGAGCCTTACACCTGTCAGACATGAACTCCACCACTGGATTATATGCTGAGACCAAACACATCTTCGTTTTTGTTATGTGTTAGGTCTATGGGGTCTCACACCTGAAGGCTTCCTGCCTCAGCTTCCCAGGTAGATGGGATTACAGGCACGAGCTGCTCACCCACATGAGACACTGGGAACGTACCGTTGATGTCTCTGTAAACACGCCTGTGAGTCACAGGCTGCCCACATTCATTCATCCCCTTCCCTTGCTCTCAGTACTTTGATGCTGAAACTTAGGCCCACTTGAATGAGGTATGAGGTTCCCCACGCCTCTATGCTGTGCGGAAAAGAAGCTCGAGCCCACAAGACCAATCTTTTTTTTCCACTTTTTTTTTTTTTTTTTTTGCGGTACTGGGGATTGAACTCATGACCTCGCGCTTGCCAGGCAGGCGCTTATGCCGCTGAGCTAAATCCCCAGCCCCACAAGACCAATCTGATGGGCTCCTCCATGGTGGAGCATGGCCTAAGGACATCGGGGTCCACTGGCTCTGCACGAGCTGTTCCAGTCCCTCCCTCCCTAGGCCTCGGCTGCCTTGTCTACACAGTGGGTGGACGGGACCCAGTGATTTCCTAGGGCTCTTTCACTTCTCCGAGTCACTAGAACTTAACCTCTCCCTTCCTCTTGGTCTGCATTCTGCCACCTCCTGTACCTTTCCAATCCTCCCAAATGCCTCACTTCTCACCCAGCCCCTGAAACTTCCCCAGGCCACGTCCATCAAACTTGATAATTTCCAATGTATGCTGAGTCCCACCTGCAAAGCTTTTGGGTAATGATCGACAGGAATTATCAGGATCACAATTTCAGACTCAATGCTGAAGTATCCAAACACGTCACACTGTGGGACAGACACGTGCATGCGGATTTTCTCAAGTATTTCTAGAACTGTTATTGGCTTTTTGTTTGTTACCTAGAGAGAGACAGAGAGAGAACAGTTCTGTTATCTGAAAAGGAGAATTCCCTTCGCTACCTTGCTGCACTGGCCCAAGTAGGGTCTGCTGAGCCAGGTCCTAAGTCTGCAGGCTCTGTACTGCAGGCCTATGGGGCTTTGCAGCCACGATAAACACTCACCAGAAGAGCTTTTATCAGTCACTGTCCTGAGTTAGAGGTCGCAGGGACATAAAGTCCTTCTAGAAAGGTGTTTTAATCAAAGTGGGAGGGATTGTCTAGGCAGTGCCAAGCGTTGGAGCTCTGTCCACAAACAGGAACAGCACACAGTGATGGGGCAGAAGGAAAAGGGCAAAACCACCCAGGGAAGACGGCAGCCTCCAGAAGGCCCCTGAGGAGACACTGGGGCCAGTGTGAGAGGCGGGGCCCTTGTGAACACCTGGGCATCTGCTGCTCTCAGCCGCCAGGCTCAGGCTGGCTGACTGCACAGCCAGGGTGTGGCAGGAAGGACCACAGACTGGGACATGTGTGTGCACCCGAGTTCTACTAACTGGAGCTATGGGGCCTCAGGCAAGTGCTCCTCCACTGGGGATTGCATCCAAGGAGCATTGTGCTCAACATTTTCTCACTTTATTTTGAGGTAAGATCTTGCTAGGTTGCCCAGGCTGACTTCAACTTGTGACCCTCCTGCCTCAGCCTCCAAAACAGCTAGACTTACAGGCATGTGTCATCACACTTGGCTAGCAAGTTGCTTTTCTGAGGATTAACTTCATCTGTAAATGGGACACTATACTCTGCTCTCCGGGATTCCTGATTTGGTAGTGAGGGATAGTAGGCCATTTACCTTAGCAATGGTGTCCAGCTTCTCCCTGTCAAAGAGAACTCTTAGCATCCCAGCACATAATGGACAACAAGCACCTGTAACAGAAACCATTTTTGGTGTGTTCAGACCGAAATAAGAAACTCAAATGGCTGACCATCAACTCTTCATTCTGGGCCACAGCTGTTCTCCTGCTGTCTGCACCCCAGGGCTGTTCCCTGAGAAACCTGGGATCTTACGATCTGTGCTTGTACAAAGCCCTTCCTTCAGCCTTGCCAGCATCTTTCAACACCGCACGGCCTGAGGGGCTGTGGAGCACACAGAGGCAGTGGCCGCCAGGGCCTGACCTTGCCGGCCTCCAGACTCCCTGTGGGATCCTGGCCAAATGTTCTTGCAGGGCCTTTGTTTTTCTGTCTGCAGTATAAGGGAACTGGTACTTCAAGGGTTCCATGAGTGTTTGCTTCACCTTTAATTTTCAAAATTATCTTACACTGTTTAAAAAAATCATAACAAGACACGGCATGATCAAATGTAATATTTTGTTATAAAATATAATCAAATACCATTAGTTTTTGAGGGGGGTTATTTTGGGACCAGGTCTTACTATGTAGTCCAGGCTGGCCTCAAACTCATGGTGATTCTCCTGCCTCAGCCTCTGATAAATGCTGATAAATGCTCCTTGCCTAGCTACTGTAGCATATTTTAACACCACAGAGATCACTCACCAGTCGATTATCAGTGACCTCTCCGCCATGGCCCTCACTATCTGCTGTGATTCTGCTTTGTCTTGTCTGTTGCCACCATACAGTATGGGTTTGCACAGGAGCTTGTGTTACCTGTCTCGGCCCTGGGGAAGAAAAAGGCTCACTCCTATGGCTCCAGGGCCTGGAAGAGTGTCTGGCCCTCAGGGGAAGCTCGTAACCACCTGCTGAACTGACGGATGGATGAAGGAATGAGCCCAGTGGACTCCAGATTGGCCTGGTCTGTGCTGACCTGGAATAAAGTCCTTTGTGTCATCTCTGTTTAACTGAGGAGTGTGAGATTGTATGGTAAGTTGTTTTGCAAAACTTAGTGCCTTCAACCATGTGTATGAAATAAGACTTTCCTGATTCTATATAACTAAACCAATCAAATTAAATGCCAAGGCCACTCTAAGGCGGTAACTTTCTTCTATGTTTTTTCCAATTTCAAATGTGTTAATCAAAACTTTTGATTATTCATTAGTATTACTGTTACTTTAAAAGTAGACATAATGAAAAAGTGAATATATGCATTTAAACTAATAATCCTAATTAATTTATTAATACTAATAAATTTAGTATTAAATACTACTTTATCTGTTAATATATTGGCGTTTGGTATATGATTTTGCTTGAGAGAAGGTAGCCACATTGTTTAAAAAAACCAGACCAAAGCTGGGCATGGTGGCACATGCCTGTAATCCCAACACTCAGGAGGCTGAGGCAGGAGGATTGCTACAAGTTCAGTGGCAGCCTGGCCTACATAGTGAGCTGAAGACCAGCCAGAGCTACATGGAAATACTCTGTCTCAAAGCAGAGCAAACCCAAACCATAGCCCAGAGACTCCACAGCTGTTTGAGGTCAGCCCAGTTGTGGTGTGTCTAATCAGCATAAGGGTCTCTTCAAGTTTCTGAAAAATTTAAATAAACTAGTCAACTCTCTTCTTACAGATTCAGTTTCTGGTGGTAGATAAGCAAATTTTTACAACTGCACCCCTGCCCACCCCAAATATGCGCAGCTTACCAGGTGGGATGATGGGTTTGCACCCAGCAGCCAACCGCGACGGGCACTTCACAGCAGCACATTCGGCAACAGGGCTGTGTTCTGAGGGGACCCCGACAGCCTGGCAGGGCCCGTGGTAGTCAACTGCCACCCGGTCCGAGTAGGCGGCACACACACTACTGTAGGTCTGGCCGTCGTGCCCACAGACAGGCTCTGAGGCTGCGCAGAAAGGCTGGGAAACAAACCACATTCAGGCTGGAAGTCCCAGTAAGCCTTTCTCACCAAGAATAAAGAACATATTCCCTCCTTTCCAAGAGGAAAAGACTCAGGAATAAGGTGTGGGGACCTTTATAAGCTCCTGTGGTGGGCCCAGGGGACAGCAGACGGCAAGAGGGTGCTTTCTAGTCTCTCTGGGCCATGGTGCTCATTCAACACAAACCACTACAAAGTAAATATTCCCTCTTATCATCTCCTCCCCCTGCCCAGATTCCTTAATGTTCTGGAACATCTGCCTGAGGAAGACAAGACTGATCTTCCTTCAGATGCACAGGCTTTATTCTTCCAGGCTGCACACGCAAGAGGGAAGAGGGGGAGATCGGCGGGCAGACAGTCCTGGCCCATCCAGTGGGCTAGGAATGCAGCAGAGAGCACCAAGCCATCCTCGGAAAGAGGTTGTGAACAAGCAGGAAGGCAGGACTGAAGATTCGGAGCAGACGGTTTCAGTGCAAAGGGAACACAATTTGAAGACCGGGCTTAGCAGAGGAGCTCATGGGACCTTTCTAACCGTAAAGACCTGGGGATCAGACCATGTTAGGTGTAGCAGTCATGTTAAGTGTCAGGGGTTGGGGGCAGGGTGTGCGAGGCCCGAAGGCAGGAATCCCCTCGGTAGAAGGCCAGCGTGAAATCAGCGTGAAATGGGCAGAGCCCGCAGTGCCTCTAAGTGGTTTCTTGGGCGTATTCATTTAACAGGGATACAGACTAAACAAGACTGAGAAGTTGACTTAAAATATAAAAGGCAAAAATCTCAATTGTGTTCAGTTCTACAGGAGGCCAGACAGTGGTGGGAAGGGTGGGAACCTTTCTATTTTAATTCATCCACCCCTAGTGTGCCTTATTTGTTTCTGACCCACAGAATGGTGGAAATGGTGTTAGTTCTTTTCCTCAGAGTGGGCTGCCTGAACTCTAGCCAGACAGCCTTCTAGAGTTGAGCTGCTCCTCTTTTCTTGAAGGACTGGCTTCTTTAGATTTGAAAGGATTCATAGCAGGCCTTCAGGGGTCTACCACTGACTCACTTGTCAGATCACCAATTCTGTGCCTCACACAACATACCTGGCAGGGGCCTCTGTAAGAGAGGCTTTTTCCTCTCTGGTATAAGGTGCAGAGGTTGTTGTGCTCCATGTGCTCTGTGTCACACACAGGGTCTTGGACCTGATCACAGGAGAGCTGTCTTGGCACACACTCATACTGGCTACAACCAAATTTATCAAAACTCGTCAGGCAGACTTGGGGTTTGGATACACACCTGAAAAACAAGAATGCCAGATGCAGGGAGAGACTGCAGCAGGGCTGGCAAAGCCCTAGATGAGGCTGGGACTGAGGACAAGCAGGAGATACACCAACACCAACAAGTCCTGTCCCCAAAGAGCTTATGCTGAGCATGGAGTTGGGCAGGCCTGAGGGTATGTGACAGGCAGGAAATGCTGGGGCCTGCAAACAGGGAAGCACCAGGCGTAGGAGTTCTAACTGGAGCCTGCAGCAATGCGGGCTGCCCGGCAGGCCAGGCTGAAAGGGCAGCTGGGAACTCAGGGTGTGCGGGTTTGGGGAAATAGCAATGACCCCAAGGGCAGGAGCCAAAGATGTATGGGGTAGGACAGCAGTCCTGTGCTGAGGCCAATGTGTGGGGTTGGGGCCTAACCTGGGGTCTCACAGTGACGAATGCAGTACTTTAGGTGCCAAGCTTCCGTCTGGCTAATGGGAGCATTTTAGGAAAAGGCTCCCTTCTGCCATGTGACTTGAAGTTGGAATGCATTTCGGGTTTCATGGAAATTTAAGGTGTCTGAAAAGGAATGATGGAAAAGAGGATTTGGAACTTCATTACCCATCAACAGGGAAGGTGTGAAAACATGAGTAGAAATCTGGCAATGTGGGGAGAAAAACCGTCAACCTGAGTACACGGAAACAGGAGGATCCCAGGAAAGTGCTGAGGTATTGGGTTTGTATGAAATACCTAGTTACTAACCCTAATGGATAAAAGCATTTTCTTCAAGTGTTAAGAACCAAGACCATCTTTCAGTATTTGCTTCCAAGCCCATTTTTCTGTTAGGATACTGATCTTTGCCCCTTTTTACTTAGGTTTATGTTTCCACATTGATTTCTAAGGGCTCTTTATGAGGACAACAGTCCTTGTGATGTTCTGCCCGGTTTATTTGTTACCATACAGAAAAGTTTGATTTTCATTTAGCTGAATTTTCCAGTCCATTCTTTTAAGTTGCCTTTGTATTGCAGCTAGAAAAGTCTTTCTACTTTGAAATTTCTTTCCATCGTTTTATTATACAAGCAATAAACTACTTGGAAAGTTTAGCCAGTAGAGAAGAATAAGCAGTCCTGCCACCACCACGCTGCATGTTATCTTCACGGCTTGCCCCTTCTGTAGGACGCCCTGCCTTCTTTCCACAGCAACCTTTTCAGCTTAGTTTTCATCATTGACCTTGGCAGATGAGCAACTAAGTCTTTGGAGTCACCCCTCCATTTACACGTAAGAAAAATCCTCTCCTTCCTCCACATTGCACCAGGGTTTTTGTTTTACGTGTTTGTTTTGTTTTGTTTTTGATTTAGTTTAGTCTTTTTAGAAACAGGATCTCACTATGCAAGTCAGGCTGGCCTCAATTCACTTTGTAGCCCAGGTTGGCCTTAAACTCACAGAAATCCTCCTGCCTCAGCCTCCTGGATGCTGAGATTACAGGCGTGCGCCACCACTCCTGGTCTGCCCCAGGGTTTTGAAATTTAAGAAGCAACTACCTGTTTGTTGTTCATAAAATCCCTCACAAGGAAAGGACTGTGGCACTCAGTTGTAGCATGCTCTGGTCTCTCAGGCAGCCAGTGGGAACTCTTAGCTCCAGAAGGCTGAAGTGTCAAGGAGCCACACTCTTGCCCTTGGTTACCACATACAGAAATCCACTAAGGCCAGTGCAACCATCCTCTGGGCTCAGTGAGGAAACTGCAGAGAACGGAGCCCCAAACCAGGTAGTGACAAATAATACAGAAGCTGTATTTCCTGAGCTTTCGCAGGTCCTGTTTATAAAATGGGGCATAAGTAGAAGAAAATCTCCCTTGATTGTACCCATCTCTCTCCTCTTACCTGCTACCTTTCCTAACACTATTCTTTCTCTCTTAGTCTCACACAACTGTGGAGCTCCCACCAGTCCCACACCACCTCCTCACTTCTAGCACGTGTGACTCCAGCTGTTGCCGTACGCCTTCCCCTCGACCCGCTTTCGTCCTGTACCCTGCCTGCAGTGCCCTCATCTTCCTAGGGGCAGCCGAGTGTCACCCCTCCAGAGGTCCTCCCTTCCAAGGCTGCCTTCGCTGCCCAATCTGGGCTCCCCACGGTACGGTCGAGCAGCCTCCCATGGCTCTCTTCTCTAGATTCCGCAGGCCTTGGGACCAGAACACTTCTGAAGCACCTTCGTGTGTTCACTGTTTGGTACATGCATGGTATATGCCTCGTAAGTGCTGGTTTTGGTTGAAAAAAACCGTAACCATTTGACTTACCTTTGATTTTTCTGGCAGGGGTTAGGATTACAAGGATCCTTCGAAATGCACGGCCCAAACTCAAACTGCCGGTCCTGGAGCCCCACACAGCGAGCAATGCAGACACTGGGGTAAGTGCGCCCGTTCTGCGCACACACTGGGACAAACTCGTCTGCACAGTTACAAGGCAGACCTGACGGGAAGGAGGCGTTCAGAAGTAAGTATGGAGGTGCTCCTCCTCCCTCACCAGGACTTACAGAGGCAGCCATTAACAAGCACATATGAGGTATCTTTCCCCAGTGGGCCCACGCTGTTTTCTCTGAATGTACACCTTTCCAATTTTGTCTAATAAAACTTTTGAGAAAAAGTAGTGACCTCACTAGAGTTGTAAATTAATGGGCGGGGGGGGGGGGGGAGACGTCCTTGCATTCTTGGACAAGGGTTTTAAAAGCAGCAAGGCTCTGAGAAGTCATTGCTAAGATGGCTGTAACTTGGGCTATTTATCGCCAGCCAACAGAGGGCCTCAGGACTGCGATCCCAGGCACAGACTACTATAGCAAGGTAGGAAGAGTAAACTGTGTTTCACCTGACCTATAAAATCTAGAATTTAGATGTCTGAAGTCTGGCTTGGGGAAGTTCTTTTTCTTTTTTCTTTTTCCCTTGAGGCAGGGTCTTGCTGTGTTCCCAGGCTGACCTCAAGATCCTTGATCCTTGCCTGAACCTCCCAAGTGGCTGGGACTGCGGGCACGCAGCAAAATGCCTGGCTTTGGCGTCAGGGATTTCTTGAATGTTAAATACCAAAATAAGACATTGCAAGGGTTTTAAGTTCCCCATGTAAGTTCCTTCCACTCTCGTTTTCTTGGTAAGGGGGAAGAATAAGAAGGTAACTTGAGAAATTACTGTACTTTTTCCTTTATGTTGCAGGTCTGAGAAATTGAACCCAGTGCCTTATTTCATTTTGCTACATCTCCAGCCCAAATTATTATAACCCTAAGATTTGCAAAGTCTTATGGCCAAATAGGCACAGTGGTACTACAAGAGGAGGCAGGAGGGTGGAAAGTTTGAGCCCAGTCTGGATAACTTGGTGATTCATTGAGACCTTGTCAAAAAACAAAACAAAACAAAAGAAAAATGGGCTAGGGATGTTGCTCAGTGTGAAGGTCACAGGTTTAATCTCTAGTATCACCATCATCAAGTATCACCTAGTATCACCATTGTCTTTTTGAGATAGGGTTTCTATGCAGTTCAATTGGCCTTGAGCTCACTTTGTAGCCCAGGCTGGTCTCGAACTAGCAACAATCCACCTGCCTCAGCCTCCCGAGTGCTGGGATTATAGGAGTGTGCCACCATGTCCAGCCCAAAAAAACAAAAACAAAAACAAAAAGCTTTTTATGACTGTCTCTTTCAGAGGCATTTTTGGAGTGGGACACTGAGTCAGACAAAGTTGGAAAAGTTTGGGACCAGCAGAATTCCCTTAGTGCCTCCCTGTGAAACAGTCACTGCTTAATTTATCCCAAGACAGTAAAGGCCACATACTAGGGAATGAGGTCTTACTAGCTGAGAAGTTCACTTTCCAAAAACATCTAGATATTAAAAACAAATAAACATTTTCTCTGTAAATATTAGGTCACTCTTCACCCCTCCCCCATCTCTTTACGTTTTTGATAAGCAGAACACTTCGTCTGCATCCGAGCAGAGAACAAGGGTGGTGAAAGGTGGTGGCGGTGGTGATGATACAGCAGCGAAGGCTGCCCACGGCTGGGGGGACCAGGGAGAGGCGGTCCTGCGCTTACTCCACAGCAGTCTGCTGCTGACTTCTCATTTTTGCATTCCCTTTACTTCCAACAGGATGGAGGCAGAGGCTGGTAAATCCTTTTTCTGTCCTCCTCACCCAACTCCTCTCCATGTATACTACCAACTTCAAGGAAAGAAGAATTAAATTGCCAGTGCAGAAACAAGAAATGAGGGACGAGGCAGCTCCCTACTGCCTCTTTACCTGGCAAAACAAAGGTATTTCCAGGTCTGGAAGAAAGCAACTAGCAAGAGACACAGTCAATGCTGTTAGCACCTGCAGGAGGGAATATCCCATCTCACCAGGTTTACATTCGGTGGGATGGAATGAGCTTAACGCCAGTGCAGAGCATGGTAAAGCCAAGAAGGAAATATTCCGGACATTAGCATTTATGGGAGCCTAAGTGAACCAGGAAACTAAGGCAGACTGGGAAAGACGGTGTGAGAACGAACTCAGAGAACGCACAGACACCGCAGACTGCCATAACAGGGAAAAGTGGTATTTCCCGGCTGGGACAGTCTCCTTTATCTGAAACCCTGCCACTCACTGGCTCTGTTATTTGGTTTCTTTGACATGGGGAATCCCATGCTACTAGTGCTAGAAGGGCCCCAAGAAACTTTTTAGCTTATAGTCTGCCATTTGTACGGTATGAAACTGAAATCCAAAGAGGAAAAACTCCTGTGCTCTGATGCTACAATGATCCTACTGTGCGAATCTGCAGGTGAAGCAAGACCAAAGGAGCTGCCTGGAAAGGAAACTGATGTGCAGGGTTGTGCTGCTCCCCCCAACGACAGCCCCCCACGACAGCCTCTGGGTACCCACAGTCACCTGTGAAAGTGTGACGGTCACCTTCTGAACTGTGTTCACTGAGGCAGAGGCGGGTAGAACACACCAAATTGCCAGCAAAACAAGAACAGACATTGCAGTCGATATTAAAGAATGTTCCATGACCTCAGGGAAAGAGAGAGAAAACGGCAATCTATATTATGTGTTAAAAACTAAAACATAACTAAAAATTTGATAGTTCAAAAGTTTTATTTATTTACTTGGTTTTTGAGACAGGATTTCACTATGTAGTCCAGGCTGGCCTTGAATTTGGCAATGCTACTACCTCAGTCTGCTAGGTGCTGGAATTACAGGCATATGACATCACACCGAGCCCCGAATTTTAAAATGGCATATCTGTATATTGGGGGGGCAATACTGGGGACTAAACCCAGGACCTCTGCACTGAGTTACAGCCCTATCATTATGATGATGATAATAACAGTAATAATATTACTGTTAGCTTATAGTCTAATATTACTGTTATTATCATAATTATTATTATTATTTTCAGGCAGAATCTTGCTAAGTCATTAAATTGGGCTCAGACATAGGCAATCCTCAAACTCAGGCAATGCTCCTGTCTTAGTCTTCTAGAGTGCTAGGATTACAGGCCCATGTCACTACACACAGTTTAAAATGAAAAAAAATTTTTTTTTGGTTTTTTTGAGGCATGGTTTCACTATATGGCCCAGGCTGGCCTTGAACTCACTTTGTAGCCTAGGCTAGCCTCCAACTCACAGTGGTCCTCCTGCCTCAGCCTCCTGGCTTAAAATGAAAAATTTTTTAAAAATGACTTCTGAATATACAAACTAGGGAGTTAAATCTGAGATCCTTCTACCATATTCTTTTAGGCCCATAATATGCTCATCCTAGCACACTGCTGTGTATTCTCCAAGACTATTTCTGATTGCTCCACTGCCTTAAATGTTCCTTTCCTCCTCTGAACCTCTGTTCATCTTTCCAGGGCCAGGCCCAGTGGCATCTTTGGTTTAAAACTCTCCTGATGCCCTGGCAGAGACGACTAGCTCCCACAGTGCACTGTAACTTTCTATGGCTCAAATTCTCTCCCATCTACCATATAAAATAAAGCATGATCTTGCCCCTCAGCTTCAGCTCAACAAGGCACTAGTATATTCTTTCGTACAGAATAGACATTTAATCAATAAATGTACACACAAGGAATAAACTTGTCTGTCCTCAGATACTTCCTATAATACAAGGAATAAAATTTCCTTTATTTTACTTTATTTGGAGACAGGGTCTTGCTATGTAGTTCAGGCTGTCCTTGAACTCACTGGGTGGCCCAGGCTGGCCTCAAACTTGCGGTGATTCTCCTTCCTTAGCCTCCCGAGTATTGGGGCTACAGTTGTGTGCCACCAAGCCTGGCTCTTATACAAAGACTATGGACTAAAAAAACACCCTAGAACAGAAAAATTTCAAGCTCTTTTTAGCTAAGAGCACACTTCCTTTCAAAAAGAATAAACCTAAAAGCATAAAAAACTGAACTACTATGAAGAATGGGAGTAAAGATGGGGAAACAAAATGCATGGGTGGGATGATAATGAATCTTCCACAGTGGTATTTTTGCCAGGTTTAGTGGTGAACATCCAAATCCCAGTACCCAGGAGGCTAAGGCAGGAGAAGCCAGAGTTCTGTCTAGCCTAGACTATACAGAGACCCTATCTCAAAAACAAAACAAAACAAAACGAAACAGCTGAGCATGGTGGAGCATGTCTGTGATCCCAGTACTCAGGAGGCTGAGGCAGGAGAATTGCTTTGGGAGGCCAGCCTGGGCTACAGAGTGAGTTCAAGGACAGCCTGAACTACATAGTGAAACACTGTCTCAAAAAAAAGCAAACAAAATACACACCAAAAAAACCCAAAGTGGTAATTTTTTCCACAATTTTTGAAATCAGCTGTTGACATAAACAGCTGTTTGGCTATCAGCAGCAGATGGTAAGAAAACTGAGAAAGCAGGACCCTAAGCTTCTCAGGGAAGGCGAACAAAGGCAGCTTTTTCCTTGGAGCCCAGAGCTTTGTCCTTGCTAGGCAAGTACCCCGCCACTGTCCGACATCCCAGCTACTTTTTGATTTTTGTAAGACAGGACTTGCCCAGGCTGGCTCTGGACTTGCCACCTTCCTGCCTGCGCCTTTCCAATAGCTGGGGTTCCAGATGTGTGCCACATTTAACAGAGTGAGATAAATAATCTTACAATGAAACAAATACACCTCGAGACTCACTTTTTCTTTTTCCTCCAACAATACAAGACTTTTGGAGGTCTACACAATGCATCTCCATACAGTTTTCTAAGAGCCCACTTTGTCCACATGAGCAGATTTTATAACAACCAACTCCTCCTGCAGATGATGGCACTTGGATGAGTGTCCCCTGACGGACAATGAAATCAGAAGCTTCTCCCAATTTGCAACCTGTACCAAAACAAAACAAAAAACGCTGAGGTTATTGTTCTATGACATTAGATATCCTTGACACAAAGTCCATAGGTCCTGTGCAGCTATTAAAGATTATGTAGGTAAGCTTAAATATACAAGAACACCAGAATATAAACAAAGAGCAAAATAAAAGATAGACAATAGAAAGTGGGGAGACCTTTTACAAATGGGAAAGAGATTAAGAGAGAGAAGGGAGCAATGAGGAGGGAGGAGATGAAAAAGGATTGATAGGTGCTATGTACCCATTCCAATTTCCCACAAGGAATGTAATCATTATGTAATACAAATATATACTAATAAAAACTAAAACAAAACAAAACAAAAAATTAGGTAGGGTTGGAGATACAGCTCTATGGGACAGCACTTGTCTACCATGCATGAGACCCTGGGGGTTCAATCCCTGGCACTGAAAAAACACAAAAGAAAACAAATTCCCTCGTAACGGGATGCCAAAGATAACTTCTATAAACACCAGCACCACCTCTCCCTGTTCATCCCACACCCTGTTGTTACAGGGCATATCTAGATGCCACCCCAAAGCCTCATGCACTCACAGCTGGGGTTTTCTGGGACGGGCCAGATCACAGGGTGTGGTACTTATCAGTAGGTCAGTGCCCTGATGAGTCTGCAGCTGACTTGTTAGAAGGCAGGATCCAGTCAGAACGGGCTAGAAGTGCTCACTCCATCCTGTTTTCTTTTTTCTCTCTGCCTTCCACTGCCCTGCATGGACAATTCTCCTCTGCCATGTCCCTCTGTTGTGCTCCCCTGCCTTGAAACCAGCTGACTATGGACTGAGATGTCTACAACTATGAGCAAAAATGAATCATTCTTCATTTAAATTGTGGATGTCAAGTATGGTATCTCAGGAACAAGAAAATGACTAAGACATACCCACACCAACCTTGAACACAGGAGTATGGAAGGCATGGCTCCCCAGATGGACACCCTTTTCGGTTCACTTCACAGAGTTCACTGGCCGGACAAGGATTTGGGTTACAGGGATGAGTCACTTCTTCCACAATGTTACCTAAGGTACTGGGCCCTGGGAAAAACCAAAATAGATCAGTATGACCAACTCAACAGAATAATAAGTGTCTGTAAATTATCTGAATTAATTATAGCAGCAATAAACGAAGAGCTCATGGGCATAAAGCAAAGATTGATTCTAATAAGTTTAAAACAATTAGATTATCTCACAATTTGTGAATTTAGTATAAAAATATATGCATTCATTTATTGATTGGGTACCTACCACATGCTAGGCAAGATTCTAGGCACTAGAAATACGCTGATGAATAAAACAGACAAGTCTCTAATATAAGAGTTTACATCTGGCAAAGAAATAAACAATAAAAACTCTGTGTGTAAATAAAAAAATGAAGTTAACTCTAAGTAGTGTTACAGGATGGAAAGAGGTATATTTTGGGTATTGTGATAAATAGCTGTTTATGTATAAGAAGGATAATGTAGCATGCTTTATTCTAAATGATAATTTATTACGGTAATACCATGTCATAATTATATTTAACTTCTGAAACTATGACTAAGGAAGAATCTCACTTTAGATAAAGTAAGTGTGATATTTAAACAGCACTGAAATTCAATAAAATTCTTTATTTTTCCTTTTGTTGAAAGTTCCTTTTTCCTAAACAATAAAAATAAATAAACCAAGAATGGTGAATTAATTTAAAATAAAGAAAGTTTACTTCTACATATATATTTGACTGCTCTAATAGAGTATGGGATTGTGAATATATTGATGTTGCAGAAGTACAAAGGCTCTTGGAGTTATCTCATCCAGCCAATTCAACCCACATGTAGAAAATCTAAGGCTCAAAGAAATGACCTGCTCAAATCACAGAGCTCTAAATTCTAGTCTAATGCTCTCCTTTTTGCTACACTGCTCACAAGGTTAAGGGACACAGTTTTGGGTTTTAAGAAAAAGGCAGATACCATCAACTACAAACTTGGCATCTATCTGCCTCTTCCTATTGACTAACAGATCCTCAATTTTACTTAGGATGGCAATGGCTAAAGACAATCTTTCCCAGGTTTCCACATAAGCAGGAGTGGATTAAGGAGAAGTAGTTCACTTTGTGCCTTTCCTTTTGCTTCTGCAACTATAATATGGCAGAGAGAACTCCAGTAGCCATGTTGTGTTAATCTTGATGAAGTAGAGTGGGGAAAGAAAACAGGAGGCTGGATTCCTCATGATGGAGCCACTGTAACAGCCCTAGACTATTTGTTTCTGGATTTCTTTTAATTTTATCTGCTATTCTGTAATTTGCAGTTGAATTTAATCCTATCTGACACAGGAAGAGAAAACAAACATCACAGTAGATGACTTCACCAGCCCCATTCCAGCGAGCTCATCACCCTAATGCTCCCCGTTGGCGGCCTAACTCTTAACTCTTGAGTACACAGTTTTAGTTCTACATGTTACACCCTGGCCTCCACTACATCACCGTACTGCTGCCAAGAAGTTTGGCTCCCAAATCCCTCAATGAGATACCAACTAACTCTGTAGCTCTTGGCAGGTGTTGGTGGTACAGAAGTTGAAATAGCACAAATTCCATCTCCTTGTACCAACCCAGAGGATCACTTTTACTGCCTTTTGGCAGGTAAGTGCAAACCAAACCTAGCTCAACTAGATTTATATTTTCATGACAAAAAGCTGAATACTCCCCAGAGGAAATTCCAGTTTCTGGTCATCATGGCAAGGAGCCAGCATGACATATGAGAATTCTGGCCCCTGATTTACTGTGTGGAATTCCTGAGTGCTAACAGTTTGTACCTCCTCAGACTAATCATTTCTGCTTATAAATTTTAGGATGCAACATTTTCTTGTGCCAAAAAAGCCAAACAAGTAAAAGTTTGTGCCTGATTCTGGGTGTGGTGGTACATGGCTATAATCCCAGCAGTCTGGGAGGTGAGGCACGGAGTCCAGCATGGGCGCTTTAGTGAGTTAGCAAGACCCTATTTCAAGATAAAACACTAAAAAAAGAAGGGCTGGGTGTAGATCAGTGCAAAGGCTTTGGGTTCAATCTCCAGTGCTGTGAGTTAGATGGTTCCACTGAACCACATGTTCTTAACAGGTAGAGAGCAAGGATAGAGATTGCGAGAGAAATATTTGGAATCTAAAATCAAACAAACAAAAGCAGTACTTACTGAGGTATGTATCTAAGGGTATACAATTTTCCAGGTCATCTGTAGGTGACAGAAGCTCACAAATACTTTCAGCTGTGTGGTCTTCAGGAAATTTGTTATGGTCTCCACATTTTTCAAGAATCTCCACACAATCTGATCTTAAAAATAAAAATGTACACAGGTTTAGGGTTCAAGGAACTGCCTCATGTTGTCTAGTTAAAATCACTTCTGTTTTCAAAGCTTTCCAAAATGTGGGTTTCTTCCTTGACCCGGCCTTTGTTTTTTAAGGCAGAGTTGTGCTATGCAGCCCATGCTGGCCTTGAATTTGTGGTAATCCTGCTTCAGCCTCCTCAGTACTGGGATTTATAGACATGCACTACTGTGGTTGGTAAGAAAATGTTCTCCTAAGTTAGTTATGTTTTCCTATTGATTAGGTCTAAGTATGGTGAAAGAGAAAAGGACTCACAACAAACCTCAGCTAACAGAAAATTCAAAGAAGCCCATGCTTTTTCTTACCTGAGATCAAAGGCCTTGATCGAATTTTACACTTACTGTTCCTACCTCAGTGTGGCTTTTTACCATCTTTGAAAGGAAATTAGGCTGAACTGACCGTTATAAAATCACACATCCTTACTTTCCAAATCTTATGCTCGTTTAACTGTTTTCTTTCCCTCTCTTTTCTCCTTTTCTCTTTCTAAGTTATCTTTTTAGTTATTAACACTAAGGTGTGGGCTTCCACCACTGCAGAGTCCGATACTTTAGAGTTTTCTATTCTTGAATGGGGCTTTCTTCGGTGCTGAGTCTATTGCTTACTTGTTTTTTTTTTTTTTTTTTTTTAATTTAAGGAGAAAAAGGAAAAAAAATAGAAAAAGGGTACAAGTAATATAAAATTTAAAAAATAAACAGTAAGAAATCACTAGTTAATAGATTACATATTCTCATTTTAGAAATAGTTGTTCAAGTTACAAAATTGAAGCACATAAAGTGGACTTTCAAACAGTGAGAGTGCAAACAGTTTTGTTCAATGATCCAAAAAACACTCAGTAATATGGTTATCTATCCTATACACTTAAACATATATGCAGTTATAACCTTTAGAGCACTTTCTTTTCTTTTTTTTTGTAGAATGACAATTACACATTTTGGGTTTTATTACTCCCACAGTTCTTATTACTTTTTTGGAAGAGAGTAAAACCAAATGCGACATATCAGAACAGAGTCAGTCAAATCAAAAGGATGGACATAATAGATAATGTAAAAATAAAATATAAGGTGATCAACAATGGTTACCATAGTGCCTCTTGCTATTTTAAGAAGAATTGGCAATTATAATAAAATTGAACAAAACAGGAAAGAATAAAACCATAGCATTGGAGACATTACAGGATTTTAAAAGAAAATTATCAATCGGAATGGGTGTCATAATGATTCTTATTGTCTTCACAGTTATGCCTATACTTTTGATCTTGGTATTATCAAGCAAAGCAGAATAGAGGAAAATCAGTCAAAACAAGATGGTGAGGGCAATACAGGCTTTCAAATCAAGTTAATAGGAAATCAAAGTGGGTTAATATAATGTATCCTGCTATTTACTTATTTTTCCCTTAATTAAAAAAAATAAAAAGAAAAAATAAATAATTAAAAAAGGGGGGGAGGGATTGAGATAAAAGAAGGCATAACAACAGAACAGTGCAGGTCAAATCATAACCATTTAGGCAAACCAGTGTTTCACCACAAGATATCCTGACATAAAAATAGTTACCATAGTGTCTCTTTCCTTGAAATCTTTGAGTATAACTTCTTATACTGTAGCACCAAACATATCACGACACTCTAAAATCATTCAGGAGAATGACATTATTACAGGGTATTTAGAACCAATTGACAGAAAATGAACAATGGTTTCTATATAAACTCCTTGTCTATAAAAGTTTTTGCTTATATTATCATATATAATAAAATCCAATAAGATACAACCTTTTAAGACCAATGGAGACTGAAGAATACACGTTTGATGGGACTTCAAAACAAGATGATACTAAATCAGCACTAGCTATTATGATGTCTTGTTTTCTCCAAAATTGCTGTTCCAACCTTCTGATCTTCTCTGCCTCATTTCTTTTGAGCTCTTTTTCTGTCGTTTGTTGTCAGTTTGTCATTCTTCATTTCATTTTCTGCTTCATTTATTGTGGCCTCTCTGCCACTAATTTCTGGAATCTTAGTATTTTCTTTTTTTAGACTATCCTGCAGTATTCTCTGTAGAGTTGAATTAGTGGTTGCAAATTCCCCTAGTTCCTCTTTACCCTGGAAGCACCTTGTTTTTCCATCAATTTCTAGGGACAGTTGTGCAGGATATATCAATCTTGGCTGGAGGTTATTATCTTTCAAAGCTTGAATTATTTCCCCCCACGCTCTTCGTGATTTGATGGTTCGTGCTGAGAAGTCTGCTGTAATTCTGATGGGTGTTCCCTTGTAAGTGATCTGTTTTTCGTCTCTGACGGCTTTTAATATTCTGTTTTTATATTGGATTTCTGGAATTTTGATTATTATATGCCTGTGTGTAGCTCTGTTTGGGTTGTAGGTTGCTGGGGTCCTATATGCCTCATACATCTGAGTATCTTTACCATTTGCCAAATTAGGGAAATTCTCCTGGATTATTTCTGTGAATAGCTTTTGTAGTCCATTTTTTTTGTGTCCCCACTTCTTCTCTTATGTTCTTAATTCTTAAGTTATAGATCCTCTTATCATCTTCTAGTTTTTGTATTGTTGTTGTTTGTTTTTTTGTTATTTTTATGAAGTTTTTCATTTCATGCTCCCATATTATAAATCTGCCCTCCAGTTCAGATAATCTGTCCTTAAGTTTCTTTCAAGCTGTTATGCCAGTTTTTGATAGAGTTTTTAGTTTCTTGGTAATCTCTTTGAACCTGCTTCATGTATTCTATGTTTTTTCTATCTTCTCCATCAAACAATTCTCCCCTCTTTTTCTGTTTTTCCATTACACCATCTGTTTTTTCTTGGGCGGTGCTTAGCATTTCTCTAACTATTCTGCTTATGTCTTGCTTCAGGTCATTAATAACTTCATTCCTGAACTTGTCTATGAGGCTCTGGAGATAGCGCTTTATATCTATTGGTGCCGTGTCTGCTACTGCGTGTTTCTCAGGATTGGGGGCTGAGGACCTTTTCTTGTTGCTCTCTCTTCCCATATTCTTTGTTCCTTATATTTAAGCGTGTATAGGAGGCCCAGCTTCCTTCCCTGTCAGCCACAGTCTGTTTGAATTGCGCCAGCTAGGTGTTCCCGCCCAGTGCAGTGTACTAGGGAGACACAGATCTGGGCAGCCTATGCTGGGCCTGCCGATCCAGGTCAACCTACCCCAAGGCTTCACCTCTAGGGTGCACCTTTGCTGGGACCTGAGTTGGGCTAGCCTATTGGGTCTCAGCCAGTAGCGTCTCACAGGCCAGGCACTCCCCACCAATCCCGCTCGAGAGGGGAATATGTGACTGAAGTCACTGCAGCTTCTTGTTCTGGGAAGTCTGCCTGGTCCAAGTATGTCCTCCGCTGAAGCCTCCTTTTCTATGTAAGGGTCCGATTTGCTTACTCACCGCAGGTCAATGCAGGGCATCCGGCCAGTCCTGCTCCCAACTCCTTTCAATGCTTTCCACTCTCTGAGCTTTCGCGCCTCTTTCCCTGCTGTGCGGACCAGGACACAATGGCGGCTGCAGGTAATTCAAATCGGCTGCAGGTAATTCAAATCGCAGTTTCCAGTGGTGCAGGTCCAGCTTCCATGCTGAGACCTTATCTGTGCCTGCTGTCTCACCAGGATTGCATTTCCAGATGGTTTATCTTAATTTAGTTCATTCCTGGGTCAGCAAAGAATATCCCCCCTTGCCTGGGACTTCCTGTCCGGCACTATTCCTAGATTTTAAGTGCGGTTTCTCTGAGAGCCTCAGAGGCTGCTGCTATCTATCTGCCATGTTCTTCCGGAATCCTATTGCTTACTTGTTGCCTCCTGCTTGTCAACCAATAGTTATGTCTCAGTATCTCCCTACTAAAGCATGTCAGAAAAAAGGCCTACACATGTTTAGGGTTGAAATATCTAAAATGAGTCATCAAGTACCCAGCAGTATTTAAACCAGACACCAGCAATTTAGGAGATAAATATTAACTTGGTTTTAGAAAAGCTTTTGGGAAAAAAAGAAAAAAAAAGATGCTTGAGTAAACAGCTGACAATAGATTATTCTGTAGTTAAATACTTTTGGCTTCACCCACCAGAGGGCTCCACTCTTTCCTTTATCCTAGATTTCCTAAGCAAACCATTCTTTCTAGAAACAGGCCCTAAAGATGCATGCATGAGCTCACTCAGCAAATATTTATTGGGTATCTACTGTGTGAAAGGATTATGCTAATATTTGAAGAGGAGAAAAAGAGAAGAGATGATGATAAAAGTAAAAGGACACAAAGAAAAATAAACTCCATAAAGAAAGCATACTCTAACAGAATATAAAACAAGTATACACATTCAGATACAAAAATAAATGGGATGTGGCCTGGAATCCCAGCACCTTGGGATACTGAGCAGAAGGACTGCAAATGTACTCAGTCTGGGCAATTTCGTGACTTAGCAAGACCCTGTCTCAAAATAAAAATTAAAAACAGCTGGAGATGTAGCTCACTGTGAAGACTATGGGTTCAGTCCTGTGAACCACAAAACAAAAACAGAAAAGTCAAAACAAAAACTGCATAGAGTTGCACACTGAAGACACTTAATGTTTCTTGAACTAAATTCCAAAAGAAAGTACATTTCAAAGGTCTATAGGAATTTGTATTAAGGGTAAATTACTATGCACTGGGGAAACCTGAGAAGACTGCATAGGAATGTCTGGTATTTGAGAGCAGCTAAAAGGAGCAGGCAGTGAGCAAGTGGATGTGGAGGAAACAGTCAAGCAGTGGAGGAAAAAACGGGAAAGCACTTGACAAGTAGGTGATGATAGGAAAAGGGAAGTGGGCAGGACAAATTGTTAAAGACAGGCTTTGAGCTGAGAACTCACTTGCGAAATATATGAAAGAAACTTACTTGCAAATAATACTTCCCCGAGATTTACTGTGACAAGGTTTAATTTGCAGGGAACAAGCGATGGCTTTCCACATTTCCGGCTGGCACTTTTTAATATCGAGAACAGGTATGTTGATAAATGGCATCTTTATACTTCCCTTCTCCCACAGCTTCATGTCATTCATGGCTCCTTGATCTGACTGAGCGTTGCAACTCCTGAAAAGTTCTGTTGGCCTTAAAAAAAGAAAGAAACCAAGAAGCAATCGGCAGTCATTTCCAGAGAAAAGTAATGCATGTTTCCTTTTTAACAGAGATTTTCATGAAGCAATTTAAAACTTCACAAAGTGCTGGGCATGGTGGCACACATCTATACTCCCAACAGTAGGATGGCTGGGAGTTTGAGGCCACCCTGGGCTACCCAGTAAGTTCAAGATCAGCCTGCATTACAGAGTAGGATCCTGTCTCAAAAACCAGATAAAATAGGGGCTGGGGATTTAGCTCAATGGCATAAGCGCCTGCCTTGCAAGCAGGCAGTTGTGAGTTCAATCCCTGGTACCGATTAAAAAAAAAAAAAAAACTAGGTAAAATAAATACATGGCAATTTGTTTATTTTAGGGGATCTCAAGACTTATTTACCTTCTTAGAATTAATGGGCTCTTGCTGGTGTGTTGATACCCATTCTTTTGTTGTTGTTGTTGTTGTTGGTGGTGGTGCCCATTCTTAATCCCAGGCCAAGGTAAGACTACTACAGAGTTCAAGCCTAGCCTGGACAAGCTGATGAAGGAAGACCCTGCCTCAAGTAAGAAATAAAAAACGGCTGGAGATGGAGCTTGGGGCAAGGGCCGTGGGTTCAATCTTCAATACAGCAAGAAAAAAAAAAAAAACCAAAAGACCCCTATTCTCTTTTGTATCAATATACATAGGTAAGCCCGTAATTTCCCCTCTAACGGTTTAGTCACACCTTATAATTTTTGATATATTGTGTTTTATTATTATGCAGCTGAAGTATTTACCAGTTTATTTCTTCAATTCACAGACTTTTTAGAAGTATTTAATTACTGAATCCTCTGAAGTATTTCTATACATTTTATTTTCATTGATTTCTCATTTTTTTAAAATCAAACTAATAATCTGAATACTTTTACAAGGCTACTGTATTAACTTGAAGTAAACACCACACAACAAAAGTACTGAAAACTTCCTCCTGGCCCAGCTCAATGATTCTCCTTCCTTGGCCCTCTGGGTGGCAGGCCGGTCATTAAACCAGCACCTGTTCAGAAACCAGCCCTCTCTGGCTCCTCTCATTCAGCTTGTGTTCTGAATACCTTTTTTCTGTTTTCTTCATATTTTCCTTAGCCATCGGCTCAAGACATGCTCAAGATTTAGTTCTTGCCTCTTTACTTTTCGTACTAGTTACTTTAGGAAAACACCCATTTGAATTGCTTCTGTACAGAAACACTTTTATATGAGCTGGGAGTTGCTGAGCAGGAACCTCAGCCAGTGGGAAGGCCTTTCAAAGCTTCCATCCGCATGACCTCACAGTGCAATTATTTACTCCGCAGTGAATTGGTTCCCCTAGTAGTGGAGCAGAAGGAAGAAGGAAAAAAGGACTGAAGGTAGAGACAATTCTCAGAATTCCAGGAGCTCAACGCATCTCTAGATAAGAAGAAACTCTGTAATAGTGCTTCCTTTCCCAGAGATGGTTTATCAGATGGAAGATAGCATTTAGGACAAAATCACAAAAAAGGGGGGGGGGTTGGGGGCAGAACCGGCGATTCGATTTAGGGCCTTCAGACTGAACTATGTCCCCAGACTCTCTTTCTTTCTTATTTTGGGGCAGGGTCTCACTAAGTTGCTAAATTGTCCAAGATGGGCTTGGACTCTCTCAGTCCTGCCTCAGCCTCCCAGAGTTCGGGGATTACAGGCATGTGCCACCATGCCCAGCTAGTTTTAACCCAGTGGGAACAAAATCAGAGTAAAAGGGTATTTTCATTTGCTTAATAACCACACAATTAATGATAAACTGTTTCTATTTCATATACAATAATTTGTTACTACCTGTTATTAAAATTAGTACAATAAGTAAGATTTCTGCAGCCCAACTGGCAAGGTTCCCGGACATCTGCTAGACAGGTCAACATGGATACTTCCACTGGATTGTATTCACAAAAGCGGTCAAACTCTTGCCAGCTCTGTGTATTGCCCCAGCTCATGCTGTAAAGTTTAGTGCACAGTTCCCTGAAACAAAAGCAGAAACATGCAGAGCCAAATAAATAAAACTCACATTCTATTAAATATATACTTTGGAATATAAAGTAAAAAACAAAAAATCACCTCCTAGAATTTGGGACCAGAAAATGTGATCTTTTCCATGAAAAAATGACCTTCATTGTCATTCATCTTTTTCCCTTTGGCTGAGGCTACTAAAATGTTCACTGCTAAATTTAATGTTCAGTTACAGTATTTGTACACCCTTAGTTCTTGGCAGAATTATCTCCCCATGCCCTTCTGATCTCTTCTTCATCTTTAAAGGGCATGGCTTTGTCTCCGCAGAGGTATATTCCCCTACAGTTATGTTCAGTCACAGAAGGCAAAGCCTTCAGGTATTTTTACTGGAGGGACATGGGTGGGCTCATGGCAGTGCGCTTAGGGTGTGCATGGCCTGGGGTTCAGTCTCCAGCAAAGGTGGAGAAGGAGGTGGGGGGAAGGAAGGGAGGGTGACAGGGATGGAGCAGGCGGGAAGGTGAGGAAGACAGATGAAGAACTGTAGACTTCAAAGTTACTAGTTTTCCCCTATAACACTATCCCCATGTCACTTATGTTCCTTGAGAAATTTCAAAGCCTCCATATACTACTGTAGTTGGGATGATATTTTTATTTTCATTAATGATTACAAAGCAACTTAAGTATGTGTATATAGCTAAAACAATACACCATTTCCAAAATGTTTTCATACTTAATATTCATTAATTTATTTTCCTTTACAAAATAGATGTTCACTATACAGACAATTTTACTATTATTGAAATATATAAAGTCACAAGTAAGCACTGTCCATTCTGCTCACATTTTATTTGACTCTCATGACTGCCCTTACAAAGAGGGTATCTTTATTTTTATGTTTATCATTCACTCTACCAGCGTTTTCCAAGTGTCTGTTTTACGAGTGCTTGTTGAGGGCACACAAACACAGTGGTGAATAAAACCGCTAAGGGTCCTGCTCTCAGCGAAGTTCAGAATGTGTGAGAGTGAGGAGGCTTTACATCAGGCTACATCAGGAAGCTTGATCTGAAAACCAGTGCTTTCTCTGGTCCTTAACTTTCTATATTTATCTTCAACAGATAATATCTCTGAGTTAATTTCTTACATGTAAAACAAAAATGACAAAAATTTTCCAAATTACCACCTAAGTTCCATGACAATTACATATGATTAAAGTGAAAGCACTGGCCAAACCAGGGGACCTCATTTCAAGGGGAGGGCAAGAAAAGCTTTCTAGCTGAAGCACCTCTGGGGCAGCACAGCCATTTCAGTCTCTAGCAGCTCTTAAGCTGGCATAAATTCTACAATAGGCAAAGAACTACTCTGCAGCCCTCTCATTAATCTATTTATTAACTTCTATAAGCAATTTAATTTCCATAATTACAAGGCCAACTTAAATTCTCTTTATGTCCAACTACTAATTTTCTTTGGATTTTTCCTATGTTCTTGACAGTCTAATGAGTCATTCTGGGCATGATTTGCGTTTTGCTACAGGTTCATCCAATTTAGAAATATAGGAAAGGCTGTCCACCTCTAGTATCTTATATTTATTTCAGGACATCCTAGTAAAATGTGGACTCTTTTCAAGCCAAATATCTCTAACAAAGCAAACTTCTATTTCTTCCACTTTCTAGCATGACCTCAGTTATCTTTACTTATTCTTATTTCTAGACTGTGTTTTCTCTACCAGGTGTGTGTGTATGTATCATATATTTTGTTTTGTGTTGCTTTTTGAAACAGGGTCTCATTTTGTAGTTCAGGCTGGTCTTGAACTCATTATGTAGCCCAGGTTGGCCTCGAACTCATGGAGATCCTCCTGCGGCAACCTCCTGAGTACCAGGACTATAGGTGGATGCCACAATGCCTGGATCCTCTACCCTATATATTATTTATTTTTTAGCCTTTCAGTGTAACAGATAAATGAATGACAATATGCCAACATCTAATTTTAGATACAAGTGCCAAATCAAGTTATCTGCCATATAACAAAATGTTGGTTAAGTTTGAAGTTTTGTAACTTAATAAACAGAATACCCTTGAGGTATCAGATTAAAACGTCTTCCAAATTATAAACTTACTTAATAATCTCTTTGAAGGTAGAATATTATCATTAAATATTTGTTGTCCTGCCAATGTTAGTTCTTCACGTCCCAAAACAGTGTTTTTAGCATTCAATGTACAAAACAATGTTTTGTATTTACTGGATAAAATAATTAAATATTTTAACAATACCTTCTTAAACATGGTTCTGGGGATTGAACCAAAGATTTGTGCACACTAGGTAAGCGCATCTCATCCCCAGAAAGATGCTGTGTCTTCTAAATACTAAACCTACACAATGCAAGAATATACCATATATTTGCTAAGGTAAAGGGATTAATTAAAATGCTGCTTTCCTACTGACTAGTAAAGGAAAATGAGATACTGACCTACACGTCGAAGTGTTTGCTTTAGAACAGCAATGCAATTTTGCCCCATCAAGGCCCGTGGAGGGAGGAGGGTGCACAGTGACGCCAGGGTGAACAGACTGTGAGCTTTCAAGAAAGCACTGCCAAAGAGGGTCCTGAGGCAAGGGCTGGGTCTTACAGCCCTCGATGAGACCGTCCACAATCTCCATTTCAGTTTTCTTAGACATCAGAATTCTCTTGCAAGCATTCTGGCATGCATGGTCTTCAGCTCTGTCGCAGCAATATAAACCTACATTTTCAGAATATAAGGGGCAGTTTTATATCATGCATTGACCACGAGAGAGCATGACAGGGCACTGGAAATCACTGCTATTCTGCACCCCCAGCTGCAGGACATGGGTCTATTAAATACTCTCAGCAAACAGGTGAGGAAACAAAGCAACTTTATCATCAGAGCTCACCCTGCCCAAGCACAGGCCTCACGACACCGTCCTTACAATGTGCAACACCATCCCATATGGAAGAAGTTCTCCTGTAAAAGGGATCTCACCTTCTCCAAAAAAGTGCTACTGTACAGATCAAAGTGAACTTACCTTCTTCTAATGACAAATGTCTAAAAGGGATTATGTTCTTGATATAGGAAAAACGATTAATTTTTAAAATTTTTTTATTTTAAAGAGAAAAAAGATAAAACAAAATTTCAAAATAAGATAAAAAGAAGAATAACAATAGTTAAAACATTGCATATTATCTTTAATCAGAAAATATTTAATTATCCAATATTAGCAATAATAGCACAAACTTTTCAATGAACTAAGAGAAATTAGTATAATTATCTTAACTATCATATATATATATGTATGTGTGTGTGTATATATATATAATATATATATATATATAATATATATATATCTTTTTCCCTTCCTTTTTGCCATTCCCCCATCCCAGTTTCACTTTCCTTTTGAAGTTTCTTCCCATTTTACAGTATCTATTTCACATTTTGGATCTTATTTACTCTTTCAGCTTCTCACACTACGGAGACAAAACAATGTTTACATGTGTCAAGTTGCATCCATTTATCTATAAAAGTTTCAAGTTTATCCTTCTTTATGGCTGAGTAGTACTCCATTGTATATAAATATCACATCTTTTTTATCCATTTCTCATTTGATGGGCATTTGGGTGGTTCCAAGATCTAGCTATTTCAAGCTGTGCTGCTATAAACATGGGTGCACACATATCACTGTGGTACAATGTTTTTAATTCTTCTGGGAAGATACCCAGAAGGGGGATAGTTACATCAGATGGGACCATCAATCTTAGTTCTGTGAGGAATGTCCACACTGATTTCCATAGTGGTTGCACCAGTCTTCAATTGCACCAATGATGGAGAAGGGTTTCTTTCCCCCACATCCACTCCAGCATTTGTTATTGGTTGATTTCTTGATACTAGCCATTCTTTCTAGGGTGAGATAGAATCTCAGTGTTGTTTTAATTTGCATCTCTCGAATGAACAGTGATGTTGAATATTTTTTCATATATTTATTTGCTGGTTTTGATTCTTCATCTGAGAAATGTTTACTCATCTCTGATGCTCATTTTGGATTGGGTCTTTAAATTTGGGAGGACTGGTTTTTTTGAGTTGTTTGTATGTTCTCAATAGTACTCCTTTATCTGAGGAACAGCTGGCAAACATTTTCTCCTACATTGTAGAATCTCTCTTCTCTCTGTTGGCAGCTTCTCTTGTTGTGCAAAAGCTTTTTAAAAGGACAAGATCCCAGTTGTTCTTTGTGATAGTTCCTGTGTAATTGTGGTTTTATTCATAAAGTGCCAATGTCTTCAAGAGTTTTACCTACTCTATCTTCCAATAGATTTAATGCTTCTGTTTTAATGTTTGACCCATTTTGAATTTAGTTTAGTGCATGGTGAAAGATATGGGTCCAATTTTAATCTTTGGCATGTGTGGAGCCAGGTTCTCCAGCACCATTTATTAAGGAGGCTGTTTTTCTTCCAGTGAATGTGTTTGTGACCTTTGTCAAAGATAGGGTGACTGAGTATGTTTGGAGTTGTTTCTGTATCTTATCTGTTCCATTGATCTTTGGGTCTGTTTTTTTCTGCCAGTACCACATTGCTTTGTGTGTGTGTGTGTGTGTGTGTGTGTGTGTGTGTGTTTAATCACAGTAGCTTTACAGTATAATTTCAAGTCAGGGATTGTGATGCCTCCTGTCTTGTTTTTGTTGCCCAGAACTGTCTTTGCTATTCCTGGTCTCTTCTGGTTCCCAAAGGCTTTTAGAATTGTCTTCTCCAATTCTGTGAGATATGGCATTAGAATTTTTATCAGAATTGCATTAAAACTGTGTAACTGTTTTGGAAGTATGGCCATTTTCAATATATTAGTTCTTCCAACCCAAGAACAAGGGATATCTTTCCGTTTTCTGATACCTTCTCCAATCTCCTTTTCAGGGTACTGTAGTTTTCAATGTAGAGGTCTTTTACATCCTTCACTAGTCTGATTCCTAGGTATTTCATTTTTTTAGATGCTACTGTCAAAGGTGTTGTCTCTCTGATTTCTCTCTCGTGAGTCTGTTACTTGTGTATAGGAAGGCTATTGAGTTTTGGGTGCTGACTTTGTATCCAGCTGTGCTACTTAATTTACTTATTAAATCTAGCAGTTTTATTTGTGGGGTTTTTAGGGTCTTTATATACAATATGTCATCTGCAAATAATGATAAATTTAACTTTTTCCTTTTCTATCTTTATTTCTTTTATTCTTTTGTCTAATTGTTCTGGCTAGTTGCCAGGACTATTTGAGTAACAGCCAGAGTGAAGTGAAGAGTGAAGACAGTGGACATCCTTGTCTTGTTCTTGATTTTAGAAAGTTTTCAGCTTTTGCCCATTTAGTATGAAGTTGATTGTTGTTCTGTCATAAATAGCTTTTATTAGGTTGAGATAAAGACTATCTATTCCAATATTCTGTAGGGGTTTTTATCATCAATGGGTGCTGGACTTAGTCAAAAGCTTTTTCTGCAACTATTGAGATGATTGTTATGATTTTATCCTTGGCTGTGTCAACATGGTATATTATATTAATCATTACATATGTTGAGCCATCCTTGAATCCCTGGGATGAATTCCACTTGGTTATGGTGTAGAATCTTCTTGATGACTTGCTGCATTGTTTGCCAGTATATTACTGAGGAATTTTGCATCTATGCTCATTAGGGAGATTGGCCTGTAATTCTCTTTCTTAGTTGGGACCTTCTCTGGTTTTGGGATCAGGGTAATGCTTGCTCCCAGGAATTAATTTGGGAATATTGCTTCCTGTTCAGTTTCATTAAAGAGCTGAGAAGTGGTGTTAAGTTTTCTCTAAATTTCTTATAGAATTCAGCAGCGAATCCATAAAGGCCTGAGCTTTTCTTTGTTGGTAGTTTTTTTTTCCAGGTTCATAATTTATTGTACAAATTGATTGTTCAGGAGTGTATTATTTAATTTCCATGTGTTTATGGAGTTTTTGTAGTTTCTTTTGTCATTCATTTCTAGTTTCATTGCGCTATAGTCAGATAATATGCATGGGATAATTTCAATTCTTTTGCATTTACTTAAGTATGTTCTATGGACTAGTATGTGGTCTATTTGGAGAATGTCCTGTGTGCAGCTGAGAGGAATGTGTACTCTGATTTTGTTGGGTGGAACACTCTGTAGATATCTACTAAGTCCATTTGTTCAAAAGGTTGGTGTAGTTCTAGTATTTCATTATCGATTTTTTTTCTAGTTGATCTGTCTTTTTGTGACAGTGGGGTACTGAGATCCCTCAATACAACTGTATTAGGGCTTATTTGATTTTTCATGCCTATTAATATTTGTTTTATATAGTTGGGTACACTGGTATCTGTTGCATATATGTTTATGATCACTATCTCTTCCTCTTGAATTGTTTCCTTTAGAAGGATGTAGTGACCTTCTTTGTCCCACTTAATCAGCTTTGGCTTGAATTGACTTTGTCTGCAAACAGAGTATCTACCCCTGCTTTTTCCTGAGTTCCTGTTGCACAGAGGACATGTCTTTTACCTGCTGACTTTCGGTGTATGAATTTCTTTTTGAATTAAATGTGTTTCTTGTATGCAGCATATTGTTAGATATTCCTTTCTGATCCAAGTCTGCTAATCTGTGTCATCTGATTGATGAGTTAACACTGATGATTAACAGATATGTATTGATTTATCCTTGTCATGTTATTTTCCTGTTGGCTCCCCCTCTTTTTTTCCCATCTCTCTTTTTTAATTGTTTGCTTTGCCTGGTGGATTTCTTCTGTTGGGGTTCATGGAGTTGTAGTCCTTGATATCTCTTTCTAGAATGTCCTTCAGAACATTTTGGAGTGCTGGTTTGGTAGTCATAATACATCAGTCTTTTGTCAGTTTGGTTAATCACTCAGTTCCTTAAAATCTGACTACCTCTAGGATAGATGAAGCAAACAGATGTACAAAGCTGAAGCTACAAAGATTCCTGTAAGGTTCATGTTCACGTTGAGGCTGTGATTTTTTTTTTAAATGACGGTTTCTCTTCATTTTTTAAATTATGAAATCATAACTGCTCTTGGTAAAAATTCAAGCATTAAAGAAATATTACATAGAATAATTAGGCATATGACTAAAAATGTATTACACCACAACTTTGGTTCTGTAACTTTTTTTGCTTAATATATCTTGGGCTTCTTTTATGTAAATATACTTTTTGTTGTTTCTGAAGTGTCATTATTATATAGATATGTCATAATTTAATCAATTTTAATCAATATCCTACTGACGAATGTTTAGGTTATTTCTAATTTGTCTCTATTACATGAATGTAGTACATCTTCATATGAATATATACAACATATTTCTGCAACTTTGAGTAAGTTTTCTTCATTAATAAATTCTGACAAATGCAGTTGCTAGGTCAAAAGACATGATACCTTGGAATTCTAATGGTCATTATTCAACTTCTCCCCAAAATATCTATACCAAAGAACCCTTATACCCTTTAACTAGAGAATACCAATTTCCTCACATTCTCAACATTCCCATCTTTCTTGGCACTTGTTGTGACAAAATGTTTAATCTGTCAAATCTAAACATGAAAGGAAGTATGGTGTTTCCCATGTGACTCAGACTACAAGTATCTATAAATTTTTCTTATAAACTCTTTTATAAAAGATTGAAATGAGATGAATATGTCTCCTTTACTTACTATCTGTTGGGTTCCTCATTGGATAAGACTGGGTATAATTGTTCACACAGTGTATTAACTGTGGACTAACAGAGGCACAATAATTTTCCACTGCTTTAATCTGAGATGGGCCAGGAGAAGAGTCCGTTCGGAAAATGGCTTGACAGTATTCACGGCAATTTGTGTGATGACCTGCATAACTGCAGCACACCGAACCCACTAAGGAGGGAAAAGAGACAACATTCAAGTGACAACAGTCTTTTGTTAACAGTAAGTCTTCACCATAAAGATGGAACGGTACGTCTTTCTGAATTTGAGCAATCAAATCATGCTATAGAAGTCAAACACTAGGGGCTGGGGGTTTAGCTCAGTGGCATAAGCGCCTGCCTTGAAAGCAGGCAGTCATGAGTTCGATCCCTGGTACCAATAAAAAGGAAAAAGACAAAAAAAAAAAAAAAAAAAAGTCAAACACTAACATCAGCACTACTGTAGACAGCCGTGGGATAGTCAAGGGGTCACTGACAAGAAAACCATTATCCACCAACTTTAGAGTTCAGTGATTCTCCACAGGCACAGCATTAGAAGCATATGAAAGCATTCTGGTTGTTCTGATGATTTGGAGAATACGTTTATCATGTAAAGCGTGGATGTCAGGGCTACTAAATATCTTTCCTGTCCTATCCAGGATAGTCGTGTGCAACCAAACTGTCTTCTAAAATGCTAAGAGTGCCTCACTGAAAACCACTGAAACAGCTTCCTTCCATATTAGATTTGTGGAGGTTTATAAACTATGAAAACAATACCAAAATGAAATAAAACTCCAAATGCTTCGTATTTATAAATGAGGACAAGTAAAAACTAACGTACATCAGACACATAAGTTTGACAACTAAGTATATATCTTGAAACAAAATCCTAAAATTTCTATGTGTTGGGCTCCACACTGGATGAGACTGGGTATAACTGTTCACAGAGTGTACTAGACATCTGTAAGAATAGCCTAAACTGGGATACTACATCTTTAACCATAGATATGATTTATTCCCATACTGAAAAGTAAAACTCACTTAAAATAAATATGAATGGATTTATGTCTTAAAATAAGCACCAGTGGGCCGCCATGTAAAGTATATGGGGAAAGGGTGCTGAGTAGTTGGGAAGACAACGTGGTAGCTATAGTGAAGCAGACCAAGAGATTCTCACAGGAGACTCCTGGGGTTTGTGGGAGGCTGAAGGCAGACATGACAGACGTTCAACAGAAGAGGTTTAGAGAAAAAGCAGGTAAGAATCCCTCAATAACTATTAGAGATGGATACCAGGGAACTAGAATTAGGTTTCTGGTGACTTCCAGAAATAATCATGTAAATTAATGGATGTAGGATAAGCCTGAGCTTCTAGGACCAGGAGAGTGTTCCGTCCTTATTGTGCCACTTGTTTTTAACTTACAAGAACTGCCAAACTTACTGTGCCCACTTCCAAAGAGTTTAATCACAAAACAGTTATTTATTTTTTGGCGTGGTGCCAGGGAACAAACCCTTGCACATGCCAAGCAAGCAACCTACCTCTAAGCTATATCTCGTGTCTCAGGAGGAACAATTATTTGTGACTTCACTCACTACTACAAACCTCAGTGAGGATACACCAGTAGCAGGAGTGGGGCACGGTGAAGACAGAAGACACAGCGGAAAAGGAGAGGCTGCCCATCTTCTTACTACCTCGTTAGGCTGCTTCCTCACCAGTGTGGCAGGACATAAGAGAATTCCAAACTATGCCCCAGTTTGAAGGATAACAGATAAAAGCATAGACAGCTAATGCTTATTGTCCTCCCACGTAAGTCTCCTGACAAACTAATTTAAACAACTATTTGTCCCTCCACTGTATTTTTTCATCTCTAAATGCTCACATATCCCTTCCACTTGCAGTGCCTCTGCTTCAATCTCCACTGTTCACATATATTTTACCCTTCAAGGCCCACTTGAGTCACCAACTCCAGGAAGTCACCCCTCTGTACGCTTGCAGGAAGCAATTCCTGTGTGTTATCTCATAATTTACCATGTCTTAGAGTTCTTAAGAGAACATGTCATGTTCTCCACAGCTGTGTGTCTGCCCCACGTCAAGCAAATAATAAATGTCCTTTAAATGAACTGAGAGGTAGCCCCAAGCAATTGCACATTATATGATGTGCTTAATCTCTGAAAGTGATCCTATTATTACGTGTTAGTATCTTCCGCTAGCACACTGAGCTCTGTGTCTGCTCTGTAAATCTGCAATTAGAAACAAGAACTGTAATACTACATGAATGACTTGAACGCCCTGGAGGAAAGAGCTTAGCTGAGTCCTGCTGTGCACATTCTTTCAGAAGGCTTATTACCAGCCTAACCTACAGTGCCAGATCTTGGCTGAATCTGTAACAGCTAATCAGGTTCTGTAGACTGTGTTACTCTTTGTATAGCCACCAACAATATACTTACTTTCATTTCGGCTAATGCAACTGAAAAGAGCATTCTGCAAATTAAAGAAAAAACAAATAAACAGAAATTAACAACCAGACAGAGTTTCAAATTTTATTCCACTTTATGGCTACATGAAAATCAGGATATAATTTTTCTCTAAATTGAAGGCTAAAAACACAGAAGCTATAAAATGACTACCTGACAAAAAAAGGAAAACATCTTCTAACACATATCAAGGGTCATGATGATTATCACAAGCTTTATACTGATCGTCTTACAGCAAACTGAGTTTATGTTCGCTCTTTCAATGTGTGTCACAATGTATTACTCTCCATCATTTCTTGTAAGATACAAAACATTTTCCAGAAAACACACTAATCAAGAACATTTAAGGAAATACGTATACAACCATGGTATTTTAGAGCTGGAAGGACCTCAGAGGTCATCTCTAGTGGTTCTAAAACATGGCTGTGCACTGGGGACACCGGACTTTCCCAGCCTTCCTAGATTAAAAAGTGTCAGAATCTGGGGTTAGGACACAAAGCTAAAGTTCAAACAAGGTTGCAAACGTGGTTCTTTCTCAGGCTTCCTGAGACTAGAGTTTGGGAATCTACCTACCATTTTACAAATGAAGAAGCCATTTCCTCAACAGGGCAAAGAGACCTACCTCTGATCACAGAACAAGCCAAAGGCACAGCCTGAGACTAAAACTAGTTTCTGGAATCAGATTACTACGTTACTCTGTATTAAAGTCACTGGAAGGCAAATGAGAACACAACCTAGAAGTAAAGAAAAACCTTTGTCCAAAGCCACTTAGATAATTCAGGGTTTTTCAGTTATTAATAGTTAATACCATTAACAACTGAAAGATGGGTTTTTAAAAACAGATAATACAGGCAAAAAAAGATTTATGAAAGTCAAAAACACCTTTATTTTAGTTGAATCAAGATGAATCTGGCTTTTAAAATTGTGGTTCAACCTCAAGGCAGCTAAATGGTCTGTACTTTAAGGACCAACTTTACTAACTTAACTGAAAATCTAACTTTGAAGATCCATCTATGTAGCTGGAAGAGCTATAGAATGAATTCATTTTCTCCACTAAAGAATATTCTCTGAAAAAATAAGCCGTGCTTGATTCATTCACTTAAAGCAAAACAAAAATTTAAAAAACCCATAAACCTCTGAGCCTCATAAAGACTAATGAACTCACCTAGACTGAACTCCTTTCTGCTAGAAGTCTCAACAATAAACATAAAAAAGTGTTATTTAATATTGATATTACTATTCACTCACATTTCCTTGTTTTAGTTGACTTTTCAGCAGGTCATTTATCGACAGCTTCTACTGGGATTCACTGGATCCAGAAACATTTATAATTCATCTGAATTAAGATTAAATAACAACCTTCTACCAAGACTCTAGCTCCCTTTGAATGGATGAATGTGACTTTAGCTAGTTTCCTTCTCTTTGTGATAACCTAGCTATTGCTCTTGGTTTCTGATTTCTCTGACTTCGTGCCTGAAGGAGTGTGTTTATTATTTTATTGGCTTCCCTGGTGTGCACAGTCTGAGTTGCACTTTCATGATTCTTGTAGACATTCTCAAAGTCCCTAGAGCAGTGGCTCTCTACCGAGGGTGATTCTGCTTTCCAGGGGACATTTGGCAATGCCTAGAGACAATGTTGGTTAGTCAAACTGTAGTATGTTGGTGATTAGCATCCTATAATATACTCAACAGCTTTCCCTAGCCCCCAAAGCAAAGGAGTATCCAGACTAAAATGTCAACAGCACCAAGTCTAAGAACCTCTGCTCTATAGACTTATAAATTTATGCAAGCTGGATTTTTAAAAATTGAACTTACAAATTATTTATATATATAGTCACTCTCTGCCAGACAACTTAGCGTGGGAGAGATATTAAAGGAAACAGAACCTGAGATATACAGCAGATTATCCAACCCAATTTTTAACAAGTCAGAGACTAAGGTCTAGAAAAGGAAGTATCTAAGGCCTCTAGCATCTACTTGTAATCAGGCCAAATCTTGCCTCACATCTGTTCTTGTAAATAAACTTTATTGAAATACTGCCACAGCCATTTGTTCATGTGCATCTACTTCACCTTACACAGCTATAACACAGTCCATAGATAGAGATTCTATAATCTGCAAGCCTGAAAACATTTGCTATCTGTCCCTTTACAGAAAATCTGTCAGTTACCAAAGAGAATGGAAACAGCTGCTTCCTTTGATGTCACAGCCAGATGTGCCCCAGCACCTCTCCTTTGTTTTAATATTTACTGATAAATCTTTCTTGCACAAGTATATCTCAATTTGTTGAAAAAAAAAGCTTTCACATTTACGACTTTACCCATTTTGAGGTTTAAAAGAATGTTCACACTAGTATACTGATCATTGATGAATTAATCATTTCTCTGATATATCCATCATGACTTGACCTGTCTTGATTTTACAGACTAATCATATCCCCTGCTTTGATGAAAAATTCCTAAATTTACTATAAGAAACTCTATGTTTTCATTGTTTAAACCACTGTTGATTAGTTGACAGGGTTTAGTATATATTTATATACAGTTATATTTTAATGAGTTTATATCTGTAAAGAGATATATAATGAGTCACAGCATTAACTTTGGTTGTTTTGTTTTGTTTTGTTTTGAGACAGGGTCTTGCACTGTGATTTAGGCTGGATTTGAGTTCACCATGTAGCCTAGGCTGGCTTTAAACTCGCAGGGATCCTCCTGCCTCTGCTTCCTGGGATTACAGGTGTGCACCACCATTCCTGCCTGCGTTAACCATATTTCTTTGCTAAATCACCAACCCTGCAGTTTAGTTGTTTTAAGTCTTTCAAATGTCTGAGTGCCATCTGGTGGTAAAAGCAGGAAGTAACTGAGGGTATATAATCATTTGAGCCTCTTTCAGGATCTCCTTTTACTAACATCACACCCAGCCACCTTACTTGAAACAGGTTAAAACTACAGTGGCATCAAGGTGTGAATGCACCAACTTTAGAGACCCAACAACACGTCAGCAAGCTAGAGGACAACAGGATCCCGAAGTGTTTACTGACCAAAGGGAGAGCCAGATCTAAAAGCAAGCAAGGGCAGTGCCGGAGTCACACCCCACACTGCTCCTCCATGACACTCTCCTGTATTATTTTTCTGACTGCAGTGCTTGTTATGAATCAGTTCCACAGAGTAACAAATCTGAGCAGTCTCCTATTCTTTCCACCAGCACCTTAGACAGTGGGGAAAAAGTTCTTGAGACCATTATTTTCCCTAAAATATTTTTTGAACCTGAAGTCTTTCCTCAGTCACTTTCTTTTTTTTTTTTTTTCTTTTTTTCTTTTTTTTTTAATTTATTTAAAGAAAAGGAAACAAAAGAATACATGGAGATTTTAAAAAAGGGTAGAAATGATACAAACTTACAGAAAGACAAACGGTAAGAAATTGCTGGTTGATAAGTTACACATTGTCATCTTAGAAGTAGCTGTTCATGTTATGGAATTAAAGCATTTAGAATGACATTCATAAAGTGACACTACAAACCCTTCTGCTTTATGATCGACCTCAGTCACTTTCAATACCCAGTTCCCTTTCCTATTCCTACTGGTTTTGGAGAAAAGGCAGAAGCCCTTCTGTCTAGAGGGGGAAGCAGGAAGCCATGGGCAAACTTGGCGGAGACAGAGAGGGAGATGGAGGGGAATCAAGGTGGGGGAACTCACCACCGTGACCGTTTGAACCAAAACAGAAAAGAGCCCCCACCCCTTTTCTAGCACTGGGGATTGCATCCAGTATCTTTGTACTGACCTACAGCCTCAGCACCTTTTTTGGTCTGAGCCAGGATCTTGCTGAGTCACTTTGTCCTCCAGGCTGTGCTCAAGCTTGCAGCCCTCTTGCAGCAGCTGCTATCTCTCAGAGCCACCATGCCCAACTTACACAGTTATTTAATGCTTTCCACTCCTAGTGCTGTCCACTTAATTAAGTTACTAATTACAAGTGAAGGCACTGCTCTGTGCCTAGGCATCAGTATAAGGATCTGTTGGCTTTTCACAAATGAAATTAAAATTTTTTTTACTTTGATGTTTTGCATTTCATAAAAGGAATCTAGTCTATCAAATGCTAAACCAGAGAGGTTAAATAATAGGCCTTTAAAAACATATTTTTAAACTTCTACAAGGTGTTTTTTCCTTGTGGACAATATAATCACCAAAAAGCATAAGTGGGCCAGGCATGGTGACACATGCCTGTAATCCCAGCACACAAGAGGCTGAGGCAGGAAGACTGCCATGAGTTTGAGGCTAGGCTGGGCTATAGTCAGTTCAAGGCCATCGTGGACTACATAGCAACCCTCTGACTCAAAAGCAAACTAAAACAAAACAAACCCCAATAGAGGATAGGTGGCTACTATATCTAAAGGAGCTTAACATCATGTCCTCGATTTCAATAAACAAGTGATTCTTTAATTCCTTCAGCCTCCCAACAATGATGTCATTTCAATAGTTACATAAAAACGAATACCCAAAACTGAAATGAGGTTCACAACTCTAAACTGCTCAGAAGTTTCTTCATTACCACCATACAGCATGGGCTGTAAGCTGCAGAGTAACACAGGTGCTAGAGGGTGTGTTCCTGGGGTGGTGAAGTGATTGCACATATCTCTGTGCCTATTTCTAACACACTGACTCTGGATTAGCCACATGATTTGCTTTAGTGTAGGGGACATCAGCAAGCGTGAAGCAAGCAGAAGCTTTAATACTCATTTGCATGTTTCTACTTCCTGGCTTGGACCAGGCTCCTAGAGGGATGGGAGAGACACATCAACTCCAGAATTGAGACAACTTAGCCAGTAGCACCCTAAAACCAGGGTGCCCAGTCAACAGATTACAGACGTATGTGTGAATCCAGCTGAAACCGATAAAACTTGGACAAACCAGAACTGCCTAGCTCACCCTTAGATTTCTAAAGAAATCATAAACTGTTTTTAAGTTTTTTTAAGATATAGAGTTTAGGATAGTTTAACATACAACACTATTGTG